AGCTTCGTTTGCTAAAAGCTGCACATTTTTTAAGATTTAGCTTCTTAAAATGTGTCCCTTTTTGACGGGCCTGAATGGGTTTGACTTTCTTTGAATATGTTACTCAAGGCTTCGGCTCAAACTGTTGCTCCAGGCCTCGTTCTAGTCCTGCTCTGGTAAGGCTTGAACCGTCTAGGATTGACGGGAATATAGTTGTTAGAGGTATTTTCTGTGTGAAAAGAGTTTCTGAAGGTGGGATTCGCCAACAGACAGGAGATCTAGATAACAAAGGAACAGTTCTTCTCCTCTGTATCCAGGCGGTGGCAGCAGTAACTTTCAGAGTTTGACTTTACATAACCTACAGTGATGGTAATGTGGATGTAACACGTTTACATGCTCAAGCATAGATATTTAAAGGATATGATGATAGAATAAGAGTTTATTTATTTTTTCTGTCATCATTAATGTTATGAATGCCTTTTTGTATTTATGCCTAACTTATCCATACAAGCCTAAATATTTATTTTATCAAGCAAAAAGAAGTTTGCTTATTCTAGTTGATTATTGTATTTGACTCTAATTTAATGTAGGCATTTTATAATGGAGTTTTAAGAGCAAAGACTGAGCTGATCTGTCAGTGGGGTTTATTTACAGTTGAACTGGTGTTTTGGTGATACAGTAATCAATCTGAGCAGCAGAAATAATTCCCCGTGCGTCCTCAAGTTTGTCGACAGAAATGTGTGATAATGTTTGTGAGCTGAAGATGGGAGTGATGTGTGCTGGCATCAAACATGGCTGTGAACCTCCGCACGGTGCCAGAGCCATGAGCATAAAGATGTTCCATCCTTAATGCTCATTTCCCTGCTAGGCAGACACCATTTGTGTTTGTCAGTTCGGAAATACGGGCTGGGTTTGAGCCGCCGCTTGCTCGGTCGCCGGTGTCCCCTCTGTCTGCTTGACTTCCTGTCCTGCTGTAGCCTCCTGAGACACCTCATCTTAAGAATCTTCACTTAGCCTACGCCATGTGGAAGGAACCAAAAAACTATTAAAAAAAATAATTTTGTTCATTAGGAAAACGTTTATTTATGAATTTATCTACGTTTGTTATTTTTACATGGCCATGAAAAGTAGTCCCGACCTCTCGAATATATAATAATAGTATATAATAATAATAATAATAACATAAAAAATAATAGTAATAATAATAACAATAATAATGATACATTTGTATATCATAATAACAATAAGAATGTATTTTTATATTATTATTATCTTACTGTATTATAGCCTAATAGAATCTAAAACGCCCTCAGTGATGCTTCGCTTAGCGCGCACGCTCCATTTGAATTGTTTAGTATATTCATTTCTAGAATCTCAAAATGTTTTTACGTGATTGACTGTGAGAGATGTGATGTGTGGTAGAGTATAGAAAGGATTAATCTGTAATTAATGGATAATAATTAGAGACACTTCAGGCAAAAGCACGTAGGCCTAAAACGTCAGAAATTCCAATTAGTGACAATGTATGGGCTGCAAATGGTAGAATAACACATTTTAAAATCGTATTAAATAAGCCTGTGTTTGTGTGTTTTTTCTTTGTGTTACTGAATTATTATTATGTATTTATTTTACTTTATGTTTACAGTTACATTTTATGTCTGCGGTTATTCAATTTCAAACTGGAAAAAATAAATGTGGACTCGCAGAAAGAGTCCAGACTGGCTATTAAAAGACATAGGTTGGCCTTAAATGTGGAGGATAAAATGAAAAGATGGTCACGTCAGAAACTGACACTGTGGCCGGGCAGAATTCCGGGAGGACAGGCGTGTTTTTCTGTTCCTAGAGTTCAACCTTAAACCTCTTTAAAAATCTTTATGTGTATGAAGGAGCCCTTGACTCGCTCATCCTCCGCTGTGTCTGCAGAACGGATCCGCGCTCCGCGTCCACGCTGCTCTTTGTGTCACCTCAAACGCATCTAAATGTAAAATCTACACAGAAGTGCGTGTCCAGTTTTAACCAAGACACGCTGAAAAGGTGAATAAATATCATAAATCACTAGAAATGAAATAAAATATGAAGAAACCGAAACACACGTGAGTCCAGTTTTCCAATCACTGTGAAGACTTATCTCAGACATTTCTTAACAAATCAAACGTGGTGCG